TACGATTCATGAAATTAAGCTGGTCCCACCATTCTGGAAAGCAATTTGGAATCTTCCCTGCAATGTCCCTCAACTCTGCATAACCTTTGACTCAAGTAGGCCACAACTAGGTCCATATTCCAAAGATATCAAAGAAAGAGGAAAATAACATTTCACATATGTGCGTATATGTATGTATATATGAGCTCTTTTTATAGTAGTTTAGTTGATCAATTGGGGAATGGTTGACCAAGCTATAGTATATAATTGTGATGGAATACTACTGTGCTATAAGAAGTGATGACTTCATTGATTTTGGAAAAACATGAATAGACTTGGATGAAATAATGAAGACCTAAATGAGCAGAACCAAGAGAATGTTGCATACAGTAACAACAATATTGTTCTAAAAACAACTTTGAGTAAGTCATTTTGACTATTATAAATACTCAAATTAACTACAAAGGATATATGAAGGGAGGCACTATCTGCATCCAGAGAAAGAATTGATAAACAGAAGTATATATAGATTGATTTTATAAATACATATATATATAAATACATATTTATATACATGCACACACATACACACACATATATACATATTTGTGTCTAATGGTAGCCATCTCTAGGGTAGGGAGGGGAGAGAAGAAAAAAAAGGAGAAAAAGAAATTTACATGATTACTTTATTATATATTTAAAAGGAATAGTAAGTTGTCCATAACACATTCATAGTTTCGTGTGCAATCATCTTTTTTATTACATTATGTTATGGAAATGCTTGTTTTATTCCATAAATTAAAAATTAAATAAATAAAAATTTTAAAAACCCTAAAAACTCAGAGAGTGCTCCTTCATTAGGAAACAGCTAAACAAAGCATGATAAATGACTGTAATGGAATACTCTTATGAAAGGATGAAAGGGATGAGTTCAGAGAAACCTGGGAAAACTTGTATGAACTGATACAGAGTAAAATAAGCATAACTAGGAGAACAATTTATAAAATGACAACAATATTATAAAGAAAAACAACTTCAAAGGCTTTATTAATCAATACAATGATAAACCACGAGTCCATGGTGTGGAAGATGAAATACACTACCCACCTTTGGCTAAAGAGATAAGGACTTACGATATAGAATGAGACCTACATTTTAGCCAATGTGGGAACTTGTTTTAGTGGATAATGTACATTTGTTATGAAGGTTTTGTTTTTATTTCTTTTTTAAAAATTGTTCAATGAGTGGGAAGTGGGAGAGAGAGATTATAAATGTATATTAAATAAATGAATGGACAAATACATGATAAATAAATGGAAGGAGGGGAGAATAGCCCAGCTGAGATCAGAAAACATGAATTTGCAGTGGACACAATCATCTGGGTCATGTGACTTCCTATAGCAGTGCTTACCAGTTTGGGAAAGCATATGGTAAAGGTAATTCAGGCTTGATGATTGAAAGGATATGAATGGTGGAATCATAAAGGGGCTAGGGATTCTAGGATGAAGGGCAGTTAATTATAAGATGAACTAAGAAGGGAAAGGAGGGAGAAGCAGTGGGAATACAGGGAGGGACAGAATAACTAGAGGTCATAATGAAAATGAAGAATAGTTTTGGAATGACCACAATAATTTTAAGGAAAATGACAACAGAAGATAGTAGAATTCAGATCAATGCTATGACTAGTCTTGCCCTGCAGAGAAATAATAACGAAGCACACCTTCCTTCTCATTCTCCTGCAGTTTTGCTATCACTGGGGAATTAAAAGTGAAATTTTAATAAAGAGATGAAAACAATAAAGTGCTTTAGTGAATCTCCATTATGGCTGGAATCCCAGAAAATGATAGTTGGGGAGAAATAGAAAAGTAATAATGACAAATGTTCTTCCCAATAATGTCAAAGCTTTAAAAAAAATAATTGTAGTACATGTTAAAACATCTGCCATATTATCATCATTTAAAAGTATGTCACTCTTCACATAGGTATTTTTAAATGGATATATATATACATATATATACACACACACATATATATATACCATTTCTACATACTATATAGAATTCTATACTCAATTAGAATTCTATTTAAAAAAAACTTTAAGGACTCACTAGGAATTAGAGTGTATCTTGTAATAGTGGAGAACCCTAATTATTGACTTAAAAAAATTTATTTTCTCTATAAAGAAATTATTTGATTAGTTTTTTATCTTTTTTTTAAATATTGTGTTATCCTGATTGTGTTTCCACAATACTTGAATTGTTTCTTTCTGCCTGCCTGCAATATTTTCTCCTTGACCCGGGACAACTGGAATTTGGCCATAATATTCCTAGAAATTTCCTTTGGGAATCTCTTTCAGGAGGTGATCCATGCATTCCTTCAATTTCTATTTTGTCCTCTGGTTGTAGAATATCAGGGCGGTTTTCCTTGATCATTTCTTGAAAGATGATGTCTAGGCTCTTTTTTTGATCATGGTTTTCAGGTAGTCTAATAATTTTTAAATTATCTCTCCTGGATCTATTTTCCAGGTCAGTTATTTTTTCCAATGAGATATTTCACAGTCTTCTATTTTTTCATTCTTTTGATTTTGTTTTACATTGTCTTGATTTCTCATAGTCACTAGCTTCCATTTGCTCTATTCTAATTTTTAAGGAAGTATTTTCTTCAGTGAGCTTTTGGATTTCCTTTTCCATTTGGCCAATTTTGCTTTTTAAGGCATTCATCCCCTCATTGGTTTTTTGGACCTCTTTTGCCATTTGGGTTAGTCTATTTTTTAAGGTGTTATTTTCTTCAGTATTTTTTTGGGTATCCTTTAGCAAACTATTGACTTGTTTTTCAGGATATTCTTGCATCACTCTCATTTCTCTTCCCAGTTTTTCCTCTACTTCTCTTACTTGCTTCTCAAAATCCTTTTTGAGCTTTTCCACAGCATGGGACTGATTCGTATTTTTCTTGGAGGCTTTGGATGTAAGAGCTTTGACTTTGTTGTCTTCTTCTGGTTGCACATTTTGATCTTCTTTGTCATCAAAGAAAGATTCTACGGTCTGACTCTTTTTTTGCAAAGTTTGCTGGTGATCCCAGCCAATTTCTTTTTAAAGAGTTTTAAACTCTTTGTTAAAGTAGAAGTCTGCTTCCAATGTGAAAAATGTACTGTCCCAAGCTTCAGGGGTTCTGTGCAGCTGTTTTCAGAGATACTTCTAGGGACCTGTAAATTTTCAGTTCTTCTAAGGTGGCATGATCAAAGGCAAGGTGTTTACTCCTTTCCTAGCCTGTGCTCTGGTCTATGATTGACCACAAGCACTCCTTTCTGCCTTGGAACTGTGAGAAGGATTTTCTCTCTCCACTGCCACCACGAGCTCCAACACACCAGTGCTCCTCCTCTTCCCAGGACTGCCACCCAGAACAGCAACCCAGATCCAAGCATGGTCAAAGCAAGAGAACCCTGCCTCAGCACCAACAAAAAGATCCCTGCAATACCCTTCTGATCAGCTGCTCGATCCCCCCTCCATCTGTGGGCCGAGAGTCCCAGAAGCAGCTGCTGCCCTGGGACTGCGCCAGGACTAGAGCTAGGACCAAGCTTCTCTCACCATGGTCACAGACTTTTCCTACTGACCTTCTAAGCTGTCTTTGGCATTTGTGGGTTGAGAAGTCTGGAAACCACCACAGCTGCCCAAGATTCAGTCCCGTGAGGCCTACTCCAGGTTCACTGAGGCCTGGTCTTTGCCTACATACCCACGCTGAACTGCGCTCCTCTCCCAGCCCAGTGTGATAGACCTTTCCAATCAATATCCAGATTGTCTTGGGCTGGAAATTTGTTTCACTCTGTTCTCTTGTGGGTTCTGCTGCTCTAGTATTTGTTTAGAGCCATTTTTTATAGGTATTTGGAGGGGTCTGGGTGAGAGCTAAAGCAAGTCTCTGCTTTCACTCCACCATCTTGGTTCTGCCCCCTATTTTATTTTTTGAAAATAAATAAAGTATGTTTCAGTTTGCACTCAGAGTTCATCAGTTTTCTCTGGAGGTAGATAGCATTTTAAGAGTGATATTTAAAAATATTTATTAATTCATTTAAAATAACAAGCTCATTACATGTAACATAACCTTTTTAAAATGAAAAAAAAACCACATTTTCCAAAATGAAAAAAATTTAACAAGAAGATGGTTTTACCTATTTTTGCAAATCTTTTTAGTCTCTTTAATGTCTGGCATAATAGAAGTCAGATGAATTCTCATATCTGCTTCTGCATTTGATCTATTGTCATATATTGTTTTGGTTTAAGTATCCAGCTTGTCTTGGGCTAGAAATTTGTTTCACTTTGTCTTTTTGTGTGTTCTGCCGCTCTAGAATTTGTTTAGAGCCATTTTTTACTGGTATTTGGACAAGTTTGGGGGAGAGCTCAAGCACGGCACTGATTTTACTCTGCCATCTTGGCTCCACCGTATTTGATTAGTTTTTAAATGGCTACCTCATGAATTGGTCACCTCTTGTCAACTTGCATTCTAGTTCCAAATCCACTCTAACTCACTGCCCCTAGCTGTCTTCACTAAACTCCAAATCATTTGGCCCAAGGTCCCTCTTCAATTTCCCAATACATTCCCAGAGTTGCTATCAGGTCTATTTCCACCATATGTCCTCTCACCCTACTCCTGAATTGACTTCCCACCCTACTACCAGCTGACTTGTGAATTGCTGTTTTCTGGGGCCCTGCTGCTTCTTTTTACTATGCAAATAGCTAAGACACTAAGAATCCACCATTTGAGAATGAAGCACCTTGAGAAATAGGTTTTCTGTTGCAACATCTCTAATGTCAAAACAGATACATTTCTGGACAGCACTCCTAGAGAAGTCCAGGCAAACTTTTCCAACTACAGTAAAAGGGAGCTCATCATTAGCATTAAGCAGTCTAGTGTACTTCTGAGCCTCAACAGGTTATCTAACATGACATCAGAATGTAACCTGGAAGTAGCCCCTCAAAATTCAAACACCTAAAGTCCCATAGATTTGAATATTTAAAAAATATACTTACCAAATTTTGGTGAAATGTCACCTATGTCAACAAACTCAGGAATTTCTAAATTGGAGGGATAGCCAGAGCTCCAGGTAACAGTAACAGAACCATAGGTACCTCTCCTGGATATAATAGCTAAGCTTGTGCCGCTATTGATGTTGGTAAGTTGAAAGGCAGTAGAATCAAACCCAACCTAGGGTAGAAAGAAAAAAAAAAGATGAAAAATATATCCTAGCTTTGTAAATTGGAACAGTTATATATTTCCTAAAGGAAGAAAAGGTTGCATGTAGGTAGTTTATTTTAAGAACATTCACCTTGGTGGAAAAGTCTACCAAATGACGTCTTACCTCTTGAAATTCTCCCTCCCATCCCCCATATGTAAATATATACACATATATATTTGCATACATGTATGTACAGTTTTATGATTTGAATTAAGGATTTCAGGTTTTTTAAAATAAAAAATTTAATCATTCATACATTTATTATCTACAAAATGGAGGGCTGAACAAGTAGTGACATTCTAAGAAGGCAGATTCAGGAGTTAACTAGAATAAAGATAATACATGAAACCAAAGAATACTAGTATAATAAAAAGACACCAATTCTTCCATTTCAACATAGAAATTATGAGCAACCTCCTTTCTTAAGCAAGCAAGGGAAAACACACACACACACATACACACAAAAAAAAAAACAACTCATCCTGAACTAAACTTTAACTTCACTTAAATTTAGAGTAAATTTTGTGCATAATTGTAATGTGTACATTTTAAAGAAATTTTGTAAATAAATAATTTTGTCAAAGTATCCTTTTATACAAAGCAAGAGGATTAGACATTATTTCTAAGATCATTTTCAACTTTAAAATTCTTGCATTCATTTAGTCAACATTTATTAAGGAGCTATTGCATGTCAAGCACTGGGAATACAAAGAAAAAAAATTCTTAACCTCAAGGAACTTATTAATGGGGAGATGGGGGGGAGGGATGGCCAGGAACAAAATGTCCAAAGAAAAATACAAAGTAGATATACTATAATGTCCAGTAAGGAGGGCATAGCAGCTGCAGAATTCAGGATTGGTTCCATCTAGGAGATGGCACTTGAGTGGAACTTTGAAGGAGACTAGGGATGCTACAAAGCAGAGGTGAAAAGGAAGCAAATTCCAGGCACAGGGGACAAGTCTCTGAGAAGGCAAGGACAAATAAAATGGTAAGGCATGTATTGAGAACTGCAAAAAAAAAATCTCATTTGGTTGGAACAAAGCAAGCTAGAAAGGTGAAAGGCTTTAAAAGTCAAACCAATGAGTTTGTCTTTTATCTTCCAGCTTCCTGGACTGGGAAACCACATGATCAGACCAGTGCCTTAGGAATATTGATTCAAAAGAAGAGAGAATGGATGCAAGAACAATTAAGAGACTAATGTAATTGCCAGCTGAGAGGTGATGAGAGCCTGAACTAGGGTGGTAGCCCTAGAATGGAGAGGAGACAGAGAAGAGAGCTACTGAAGCAATAAAGTTGACAAGACTTGGCAACTGATGGGATATGAAAGGTGATCCAAAGTTGCCTCTGAGGCTGTGAACCCGGGTGATTCCATGATCCTCTTCAGTATCTTCTTCTCAAGGAGATCAGAATGTGGCAAAAATATCCCTGGGGCATACAAATCTTTATCCCATAAAAGTAAACTCTACATCCTGATCAAAGCAAGCACTTCCCAATGATACTAGCTGGAGATAATATACCAAATGAGGCAACAACATAGGCTGTGCTTCAGTTTCTGTAAAATCACAAGTTACATGAAGTGGTTATTAATGATCTAGGCCATGTATCTTTTTATGAACTGGATGCATGATTTCATAGTCATGGAGCACTCTTCATTAGGAAACCCCTTCAACTAATGCAGATCAGTGATTGCCCTAAAATTTATAATCTTAAGAGGGCTGCCCCTGGAACTGAAAAGGCAGCGAGGTGGTACAGTGGATAGAATGAGAACCTGCAGTCAGAAACACCTGGATTCAAATCCCAGCCTCAGACATTTATTAGCCCTGGGCAAATCACTTGACTTCTGCCTCCAGTTACTCTTCTGCAAAATGGTGATAATAATAGCACCTACCTCCCAGGGTTATTATAAAGATAAAATGAGATGACATTCATAAAGTGCTTTATAAACCATAAAATGCTATAAAGATATTATTATTATTATTATTATTAGTTATTGTTTTTGTTACTGAATAGTTAATGACTTATCCAGGGTGACACACTGAGTAGGTATCAGAGGCAAGATCTGAACTGAGAGCTTCCTAATTTTGAACCCAGCTTTCAATCCACTCCACCATGCTGACTATTGGACAGATATATACTGTCTATATCAATGCCCCCTCTCCTTACTCAGGATAACAGGAGGCAAAAGGAAAAAGAGAGGTTCTTATAATGCAATCAGTTGTTCAATAAGTATGCATTAAGCACCTACTATGTGCCAGGCACTGTGCTAAGCACTAGAGATACAAAGAAAGGTATACAGAACCTGCTCCCAGTCAAATACATATCACGAGGTCCCAGATGGGGAAAGGCCCATGGTGGGCTCTCCATCATAAGCAGACTGGCACTCCACAACAGCCAAAAGCTTTGCTCCACTTCAGCTGGTCACCACTTCACACTGTGCTCCCTGCTCTGCATCTCCAAAGATAACAGGTTTAATGAAAAGAACCTGGCAGTGCCTGAATAATGATCTGTAAATGTGCCTGGTGACTCATTCCCTGAACTGCACCTGGCAGGAGGTGTTCCCACTACATACAGACACATGACAGTGCCATGGGGTAATGAGTGGGCTAAGCCAAGACTTAGGGCCATCCCAGGGAGAGGGATGGGACTTGCTGAAATATTCCTATATTGGGCCAATTAAATAAAGGCATTGTGAGCACTCAAAGTACAACAATGTCATTCAAAATGAAGAAGATTATTTTTCTCTTTGATCTTGTTAGGTCAAAAGTAATATTCTCTCTTGGGCCAAGAAGGGAGAAAATTCTTTTCCCCACTACTTGAATATTCACTTTAAGCTGGTTGGTCCAATACTGGGAAGCAAAGTAGTCCCTGTCCATTATAGAATGGTTGGACTTGGCAAGAAGAGGGTGATCCCACTAGGGATGATATCAAGTGCTTTTAGTTTTGAGATAAAGAGAAAAGTAAAAAGAAGGAGCATATGATAAGTGCCCTCAATTTTTTCAGTAAAGAGGTAAGGTCCTGAGCTGAGAGAGTGGGGGAGGGTGATGTGATGAGAGAAGAAAAGGATATTTAGAACAATGAACTATATAAGATTGTGCGCTGTCTTGGGGAAGGAGACAGGGAAGGAGGGGGAGAAAAATTTAGAACTCAAAAGCTTATGGAAGTGATTGTTGATAAATCAAAATAAATTAATAAAAAAACACAAAAAATAGGACAATGAAGCAAAATTATTATTTGAGCAGTTACTAAAATATCAACATTATATTCTTTAAGTTTTTGTTATGTGAACTATCTCTTCTACTCAAATAGCCAATATACAGCCTCTAACTTATCTCTAAAAGATCTGTTATTTCTATTTATGCTAAAGGTAAAAATTCATTATAATACGATTTATTCATAGATGTCTATATTACACTTTAAATGTATATTGATAAAAAATTAACATGTAGAAGAAGAAATTTAGTTGGTACAGTAGATAGAGGTGCTGGGCCTGGAGTCTGGAAAATCTGAGTTCAAATCTGATCTCAGACATTAGTTGATGTGACCCTGGGCAAGTCATTTGACCTCCGTTTGCCTCAGTTTCTTCATCTATAATAATAGCACCTACTTTCCAAGGTTCTTGTGAGGAGCAAATAAGATAATAATTGCATAGTTCTTAGTATAGTGCCTGGCACATAGTAAGCACTATATAAATGTTAGTTTTCATCAGCATCATCATCATCATCATCATCATTATTATTATTACTAAAATATCCATGTAAGTTCTACAAGTCTTTTCTTACTCAAGCTAGGTCACTTCAATACATACATACATACATACATACACACACATATACACAAAGACAATATATCTCTGAACATGTATTCCTAGGGAGAGCTGCATTTTTATGTATAAACATATATGTATAAATATGTAAGTATGTATATGCATATGTGCAAATATACACACATATAAAAATTAAATATATATATACCTTTTCCTAGGAACACAGGTTCAGATTCTTCAAGAAGAAAAAAAGCTCCATATTGCCCCCTTGTGTTTTCTTTAGCACTAAAAGCAAGTCCCATTACCTCAGAATTGGCAGCTTCTTCAGGAATAGCAATAAGAGTTGACTTTGCCTCTTCTAGTATTTTTGGCATTCCATAGAACTGTCCACCAACATGGATTACGTTTAACAGTTCCAGAGTGAAATTCAAACCCAGGAATAGAAACATCTTTAAAAGAACAATTTTTATTTGAAATACTTTTTTAAAAATTTCCAAAGTAACCAGCATAATACTAGTTTTACTACCAGGCTTTGTTCTAAAGAAACACTTCTATTGAACATATATTTCCTTTCTGTTTTTCTGGTTTTGTCTGTCTGAGTTATGGAACACTAGAGCATCTGATGACTTGAAGTTGAAGATCACCTAAAGGTCAATGGAGAGGTGCATGGTGTACGTGATTAGATTGCAATACATTACAAATCAGGAAGAGAAGCTCTGAAAATGTTGTCATCAAAGAGACATGCGATCAAAAAGATGGATTGGCCACATAGGAGAATGAGGCATAATCAATGACCAACCTTGCCACCTCCCTTGTTATCCTTTTGACCAGTGGTTTCAAATTCAAATAGAAACTGGATCTTAGAAAACCACAAATCAACATTATTTATGCAATACTGTATATTAATTTATTTTCTTAAGCATTTCTCAATTACATTTTAGTCAGGTGTAAGCAGCCCTTTAGCTGGGATTTTCATACCTCTTCTCCAGGCATTAAGACAATTCAAAGAATAAAATTTAAAACATTGTTCTGAAAAAGGGTTCATAGGCTTCACCAGACTGCCAAAGGGGTCTAAAACATACAAAAAAAGTTAAGAATCCCTATTTTATACCCTTGTATCACTTCTTAATGACTTTACAGACACATTCAACTTCCTTTCCTTTCCCTCAAAAGTAACTAGACAATCACAACCAATTTCCTTTCCCTTTTCAGACAAAATTTTACCTTTTCTTACTTAGCTTTCCTTACCAACTACTTTCTCCATTGGTCCTTCTTGTCAATCCTCTTTTCTCATTATTTTTCCTTTTCTCCTTCAGTTCAATTTTTCATTTTCTAAATTTCTTCTCACAAAATTCAATCTGTGACCTTTTTCGCTAATCCAAAGTTCTCCAAATAACCTTCACGATTTCCTTTTCCCTTGTATTCAGCTTATCACACTCTGTCACTTCTCCAGCTCCATGTCTTACAACTTTCTCCCAGAGGACCAACCCTCTCTTTTTATTGATGAGAAAACAGAAACCCAGAAAGGTAAACTGACCTCCCCAAAATCAATATAGGCAATGACTGAGCTGGGCTTCAACCCTAGGTCTTCAGACTTCCAATCCAGAGTGTTTTCCACTATACCATATACCAGGTTCTCTAAGGTCTCTCCTGTACCTCCGTGACTTTATGACTCTGGACCAATTTCTACCCACATAGCTTCAGAAATGTCTAAAAGGGCTAAAAAACAAAACAAAAAAAAAGATGGGGTTTTGTAGTAGGATTTGATGATATATGAACAATCATGGGATTCTATGATTTCTCTGTAATTCTGGGCAAAAAAGCCATGAACCGAGTTCCTTTCTCAAAACAAAGTTTGAGAACTCAAGAAAGGTTATTCTAAAAAGCCAAGGCCCCAGTATTCAAGCCCTAAGAATCTACCTTAGCAATGCATCAATTATTGTTTAAGATTAGTCTACCTGCTCAAGTAATATGTGGAGACCTCTATAGAAGAAAAATAACTCAAAAATGTCTCCTCTCAAGAAGACTCAGCACTCATTCAAACACATAATAAGGAAATGTGAATAAGACAATTACCAGAGCGATAAGCAGGTAATATAGCTTATTCCATCCAAAATCATACACACAATGAAAAGGACAGTGGCTTCTCTGGTGCAGACTGCCTAAATTCTATTTGTTCACCTTTTTGTGCTATAAAAGATCAATGCTGTATCTAACTAGAAAACTATGTAAGAAAGATTTTAAGTATTTTATAGTAATTACTAGTATTATTTTTGTTGATGCCATTCATTTTTTAAAAACATATCATCAAAAATATGATAGGTATTAATGGAAAAGAAAATTTCTATGGTCCTTCCTAGGGGCTCAAGGTAGATGAAGGACAAATAAAGGAAGAAAGAGTGAAAAACATTCAAGGATATGTAGTGTACCAATCAAAATGAAACCCTGGGCAGTGAGTACTTTAGTCCCTAAAGTTTACTGTTACTTGTTGCCATTATTGTCTTTCTACATAATTTTTGCATAAGTTTTTCAGCCACAAGTTATGTAGAATTGATGAAGAAAAAGTTGTTTTTTAAAAGAGGTGACCAAAATATGGTTACAAGTATATTATGAAGACTTGCATGCAAACTTAATTACAAATAGCTTACTGACTTCTACCTTTAAAAGAATTTGTTCTGAATTATCTCACTAAAAAATGTCAAATTTGGGGCAGTTAGGTGGCACAGTGCATAGAGCTCTGGCCTTGGAGTCAGGAGGACCTGAGTTCAAATCCAGTCTCAGATACATAACACTTACTAGCTGTGTGACCCTCGGTAAGTCACTTAACCCTGACTGCCTCATCAAAAAAAAAAATGTCAAATTCAATAACGAAAGAAATCTATAGATACTGCCTGTAAAAAAAAGGATCATTCCATTTAAAAACTGCTGAAAAAATACAGTGTTAGAATTTACCAATACAATTAAAATGTGGTGTTCTACGTGATTAAATCTGTCCCTTTGGATATTACAGTAAGCCAATCATTAGCTGGGTAAGGTGATAGGACTCTAGGAATCAATCAGAGGAGTATGCTACAAACCTGATTAATTATTGGCACTGTGTCCACTTTATAATTGGTACCATCTTTGACAATCACATGCCCTTCTGTTCTTTCAGTCACAATTGCCCGGTCTCGGGAGTTGGGCAATATTCGGTACCCCACAGCTACATCTCCAAATGTTCCAGCAAGCCGAGTTACATTAATTCGGATATATCTACTGAGGCTTTGCTCAACCACTACAGATTGCCGATGGGCATACAAAGCAAACACTCCATGAGGGTCATCGTTTGCAGGGACAGAGAAGCTCATAAAGCTTTTTTCTTTGTCCAGTTTGGCTCCTCCATCCACAGAAACCAGTTGTATTACATAATCCTCATCTATTTCAGGAACATCATCTGGCAGCAATTGAATATCAAAGTTGGCCTCAGTCTCCCCATCAGGAATCATGAAAAATCCCCTTGTGGCAAGGAAATCACCAATGATATCAAATTCACTGCTTAGTTCCCAATAAACCTAAAACAAGGACAACAAAAATGTTTAATGAAATGATCAGTTGAAAACCTTACCATTAGATGTTCCCCTATGGTGTACACAGAATGTTACAGATAGTAGATTGTCCTTAAAAAAGAAAAATCAGAACATTTGATCACAAAAGAGGAAGACTTAATTCCTCCCCCTCCTTTAATAATTCTATGAGTTCACATGACTGACTTATCTGGACACATTGTGGGATACTTTAAATGGAAGTTAGATTCTGCCACTACAGCTATTTTTCCTGGTTGTGTATTTTTTGCTGCTAGACTTGCTGTGTGGCCAATGACACAATTTCACCACTCTGAGCCTGTGTTTCCTAATCTGTGCAATGGGATACCATAGTAGTTTACTTCCCTCACAAGGTTGTTGTAGATAATGTCCTTTCTCACAAGGTGGTTGCATTTTATAAGTATAAACTATTATCATTAATATAGTTTGCCAATCAATTAACAGCTAGTTACTTATGAATCAGGCATGGTACTATTGCTGGGGATAAGAAAAACAGGCAAAAAAAAAAACAAGGTCTTTGCCTTTAAGGAGCTCACATTCTAATGGGAGAGACAATCTGCAAAAAAAAATTGTGCATAAAAGATATATGCAATGTAAAAGGAAGGCAATCTCAGAGAAAAGGCATTAGCAGTGAGGATGGGGGAGCAAGAAGGGCCTCCTGCAAAAGACAGGATTTGAGCCAAAAACAAGCTGGCATAGCAGGAGGGCTACTAAGTCTTTCTGACCAACTAGCTGTCTAATTTATCTACCTAGAATTCTATATTCTTTCACCTGCTTGTTAAATAAAAACTCAAATTTAATGATGTATGAAAGTAGAAACATTAACAATTTTAAAATGTCAACTTAGAAAATTCATTAATAGATCAAAATGATAAATGTACCTGGAAGGTGTTTACAGAGTAGGGAATCAAAATATTTTGGAAAATTTTGGCTGAACTGTTATGGTAAATAATCACTGGAAAATTTATATAATAGGGAATACCACAATCAGAATTTTGTCTTTGAATATTTAAAATTCAACTTAAGTATGCTAGTTAATCTCAACTCTTCAAAAAATAAGAAAGTTGTTTGTTCCATGGTATAGTACATGACTGCACCATAAACTACATAAGTTTTTTGAGACTGAAACCCAACATCCTAAATCTAATTGAAACACCCTAGAAAATCCAATGAATTATAAAACTAATTAGGATAATTTTGCTAAACAAAAAATCAGAGCTCCTTAAAATGTGGTCCAGGGACTCTGGAGACCCTTTCTGGAAGTCCATGAAGTCAAAACTGTTTTTCATCATAATACTAAAATGTTTTGATTTCTAATACAGGAAATATCAATAGATGTAATCCACATAAATGACAGTTCTTTTGGGGATTCCTCAATCATTTCTAAGCATGTAAAGGGGCCCTGAGAGCAAAAATACTGGAGAACTGCTGTTCCAGATAAAATGTCCATAGTCACTGAATAGGCATGTGCAAATATTTTACCATGTCACACACTATTCTAACCACTTCAAAAGCAGATATTTAGTGGAAAATGGAGAGACTCAGGCATGCACAAGCCACCATCCTGTGGCTTCCTGAAGTCACTGTCACTGAGTAAAGTCAATTAACTAGCATAAAATAATACCCCAATCATCTCAGAAAGACAAAGTAGTTCAGTCATCCCTGGGGCCTAAAAATCTGTCCTGAATGACTAACTAATTAGGTCAAAAGGGTCTTATAGGAATCTCGCAGTGCCTCAGGCAACTCACTAAGACTATCACTTTCAGAACTGAAGAGATATGCATTGGCATAGGAAGTTTCCTCCCTGGGATAGTTTCTACAACATAGAAATCACAAGTCTGGACTCTTCTCCCCAATTTTTCCCCCTTAAAAATGCAGGTCAGGGGGGCTTCTAGGTGGCGCAGTGGATAGAGCACCAGCCTTGGAGTCAGGAGGACCTGAGTTCAAATCCAGCCTCAGACACAGAATACTTCCTAGCTGTGTGATTCTGGGCAAGTCACTTAATCCCAACTGCCTCACAAAAAAAAAAAAAAATGCAGGTCAGAGTAGACCTAACCATAAACAAAAGGCTAAAGTTTGAGACTGGGAAGTGAATAATGGAATGTTTTGATGGACATATGCTGATCATCTTAAGTCTTCCTCTGATGAGCAACTGTAATAACTTTCTAACCTGAGTACTGAGTGGAATATTTAGACTTCAAATTAGGGAAACATTGGACTCAGAACCAGAAATCACAGGTTCAGTTGAACTAGAGAGCTTCTGATGTCTCTTCAAGGTCTAATTGTATCATAGATCAGCCCTCTTGCTTGAATATTTTCTTGTTAGTGCTAAGCAGTTCTGGCTCCAGCTAAGAAAGACACTTCCTTTGCATGAAGTTCAACATATGACTGGGGAAAAGACAGAAATGTGTGAGTTTAAGAGGTAATACTATTTTTTAGAAATACATTTTTTTGGGGGGGGCAGCTAGGTGGCACAGTAGATAGACCACCGGCCCTGGAGTCAGGAAGACCCAAGTTCAAATCCAGCCTCAGACACTTGACACTTACTAGCTATGTGACCCTGGGCAAGTCACTTAACCCCACTGCCTAGCAAAAACAAACAAAAATACATTTTGGTTTGTATTTTTTTTTGACTTACAGAAACACCACTATTAAGCAACCAGCACCAAACCCCCAGAGTGCCTCTACCCAAAAGACCTAAAATTGTGTATTTAAATGCCCTCCAAGTGATGAAAAAGAATTTCAGTAAGTCATGCCAACCATGTAACTTTAAAAGACTTCAAATATGTTTTTTTTAAGGGTCAGAAATGTGGCAGAACAGAATTAGGAAATAAACTAAACTTCAAATCACTACCTTCATCTCAAGGTTATTTCTGCCACTTCAGTTTCACTGAAAAATGGGATCCTGTACAGTTAATAAATATATTTCATTCTTTTACTACGATGATTAATGGAAGTGTTACTGTATTTAGCAAAACACAACATGAGAGTAATGATACCGTAATATTCCCTGTAACCCCTTGGACTCGCTTGACAAAAAATGTAATATTAAGTGATCCTTCCAAAGTTGATGGTTCTACATAATTCTTCTTGGATAAAGATTCAGAAGCAAATTGAACAATTCCATTTGGATCACCAAACTTTTGTATCTAGAAAATATCAAACAAAACAGAGTAGATTTGTACAGCTTACATAATAATTATAGTAGTGAAACAATATCAATAAGTGAAGGAACTCACCATAAATTCATTCAAAATCTAACTCAGGAAAGAGATGGCGGGGGAAGCAGGGGAGGCTCAAAGGGCCTCAAGACATCTTTGTTATATTGTCTGTCCTCTGCAGCAGGCAGGCCCTATAGCCCACAGACAACGGGGGTGAAAATTCAGAATTCTATGAGTTACAACCAAGATGCCTAATTTGTCTTTTCTCTACGCCATATTTACCCCAGACAGACCACATACTTCAAAAGCCAACCATAACTCTGCTGCCTCTCATGACATGAGAGAAGCAATGCCCTCCAATGCCAAAGAGTGGTTTCTAAACCTGAAGTTCATGGAACACTTCTATATAATTTTTCATCTACAGAAACCTATACTCCACAGCCTCTGATGAATATCACAAAGGATAAACTTAATATGTGTCTAATGTATCACCTCCTTCATGATGTTAATGGTTCATACTAGAAATATCAATCAATTGTTCTTCCAAAAAAGCAACTTATGATTGGTTTATATAGGTGAAGGGGAGTTGGTCTTGGACCATCCCTCCAGCCCAGAAAGCTTAAGAATGTGTTAACAAGGTGTTAAACTAAGCATTAAGAAAGGGACCTGCCTGGTCCAGTGATCCTTTAATGAATGCCACTAACTGAATTAGACAGGGAGTCTATCTATTGGCTGGGGGAAAATGGGCCATGACCCTGAAGGCCTTTAAATAGCTAAACCTCCTGGCCTGGAGTCATTTGATATTGTTATACCTTTGAATCAGTCCAAGCTAGAAGCAGCCTTGTGTATGACACCCCAGAGCCTATACCAGAGAACAGCAGGGGGGAGAGGCCTTTTTTTCCTTCATCCTCCTCCTTTACTTATCCCCCAATCCCATAGCAGAGCTACTGGCCAAAGAGAAGACACCATCTCTAGCAAGGAATTGACACAAACCTTATGCCATTGTCAGAGAGAGACAGTCAATTGAGAATTTCAAGAGCATGACTCTGGCAACAGGATGCAAAGGACAACTTGCCCTGTCCAATGAGCATCGAGAAGCAAAGAAGTATAGAGTGGGGGAGCTCTGCTGAGCAATTATCCCAATAGAGACCCCACACCCAGGGAAGGAACAGCATAAGGGTTCTGTGAGGAGACAAAGTACATCTGCAGTACCAGAGGTATTAGTTGCTTCACCCTCAGAGTACCCTCAAAACCCGTGTGAGTAGCAGCCATCTATCCTTTGGGAACCCTGCTCACAAATACAAGAGCAACTTGAAGGAGTAGACAAAGCAGGTGCTCATGGGCATTAATTATGGAAATATAATAACCAAACTTTCAGGATAACTGAAAAATAGCTCACCTCACATACATGTATAATTCAATAAGTATTAAATTTAATTTAAAATGTATTCAATTTAATTCAATTTACTGAGTATATTCAATATAAAAGGCATGTGCTAGGCACAGAGGAAACATAAAAAGATAAGTGAGATATAGTACTCAGATACCATATTTTCTGGAAGCTTTTAAAAGCAGTATTCAATGGCATTGTATTTAGCGGCATATATATCCTGACAGACAAGATCTAACATGAATTACTCACCAGACTCTACTCAACAGAAAGATTAATAATGTCATTTTTTAAAAAAACTACACTAACTTGTCTTTTCTGTTGTATAATATTTCACTAACTTTTCTAATAAACACACTACAGCATGGTGTAGTGGAAAGTACACTTGATTTGGAGAAGACCTAGCTCAGTTCCTTATTTACTACCTGGGTGAATACAGTCCAACTCATGTCACCTCTAATTTTCATCAGCTCTAAAAGGAGGAAGTTGATCCAGATAACAATCTGTGGTCCCATGAAACCAGAATTTTACAGAAGAAACCACAAAAGACAAACTTACTACTAGGGAGACACTTCTAGCCCTTTGGTCTAATTCAGCTTCTCCTTTCACAATATGAAGCTCTACAATGAAGATTTCTTGGACTTCAACATCTCCATGGGGCAAGATGGTTAGAGTTATGGTTCTCAATCCACCTTCTCCATCATCAAAACAGAAGGATCCACTCACAGGTTCACCAATGTCACTGTTCAGTGGTGGTAAAACTTCTTGTGAATTAGGTCCTAATATGTCCCAATCAATCTGCAGGATTACAAAATTATAAATTAATAAAAAGGCAATGGAAATTTCTATAGTGGTAATGGTTCAAAACATGTTAATATTAATAACTTAGACACAAGAACTAACATAGGAAACCAAAGAAGGGATAACATATAACCAGGCACAGAGTCATATAGGGAGATTGAGAAGCAATGAATGGACAAATGAACAGCATATTGCAGGGGTGGGGAACTTTACAAAGAGTTACCAAAAGAATCAAAGTAATCTGTGAGATTTTTATTCACCGAGCTGTCAGTTTTAAAGGCAGGCTATAGAAGTATACTAATTCAACCACCCACCCCCTTTCTCTCTTTAGGTTAAATATTACAAGTTAATATTAGGACCGTACTTTAGTTTGAAGTCCTAGGTTCCCCCTGGATAGGAAACTCTTGTCAATACTCTGTCAGTGTCCTTTAACATCCTTTTCAAATACTAACTCATTTCTATAATTGAGGTTAGAGAAAAACTCTCCCTGAAGATGGAATAAGGGTGGTGACCCAAGATTGTGTGGGGCAGACACTCTTGATTTTTCCACTTAATACCAATAATCTATTCGCCCATTCCCTGATTAAGGCAATATCAGAAGAAGGAAGATATCTTTGTTTAATTCGAAGTTAATTGAAGTATCTCCTGACTTCACCTCTGATCCAAAAACACAAAATTTCACCATAAGATAAAACACAGTATCAAATTTCAAGTAAGAGTTTGATTCACACAGAACAATGGTCTCAACTTTTTGCACATCTAGGAGAAATACTTTCCTAAACCCTTTCCCCTAGATCAAAGGTGAAGTCAGGAGATACTTCAGTCACTTTGAATTAAACAAAAACAGAGTTTTATATTTGATGCCAGAGTAGTAGGAAGTTCTGGAATTTAGCAAACGGAGATGACATAGTCAGACCTGCAGTTTTAGGAAGATAAATTCGAGCTGAATGGAGGATGGACTGGATTGGGGGAAAACTTGAGGCAGGGAGACCAGGCTGTTGCAATAATGTAGGCATGGGGTAATGAGGGCCTACACCAGGTGGTTCCAGTGTCAGAGGAGAGAAGGAGTGTATAGGTGAGATGTTACAAAAGTAAAAAGCAAAGGACTTAAACACTTATTGCAGATAAGGGAGTGAGAGAGAAGAAGAAGCCAAAGATGACAGATTGAGCCTTGGTGACTGGGAGAATGGTGGTGCTCCTCACAGTAGGGAAGTTAGGAAGAGAGGAGAGTTTCACCTTTCTAGTCTTCTTATACCTTTCTCCCCTCTGCATAACTATGCTCCAATGATACTGGCCTCCTGTGGTTCCTCAAACAAGGCATGCTGTCTCCAGACTTTGGGCATTTTCACTGGATGTCCCCCATGCCTGTCCTCCCTTCTCAATCCCATCTACTGGCTTCCCTCCCACCTTCCACAAGAAGGCTTTCTGCCCCCTTCCATGCCACAATTTTTCCTTTGTTCATTATCTCCAATACAACTTGCTTGTAAATAGTTGTTTGTATGTCATCTCCCCCATTAGACAGAGCTTCTTGAAATCAAGGACTGGCATTTTTTTTCTTTCTTCGTATCCCCAATTCTCAGAACATTCCTAGTACATAGTAGGTGCTATTAAATTCTTTTCATTGAGTTGACATAAACTCTTGGTTTCCTAGCCAACTTTCTAAGATTAAGTTTCTAAGCGCACTTCTGCCGATCTATATTGGAACCCCTCACCAGGAATTCTGTATTCCAATGAAATCATATCTAACCCAAAAAACATAAAACATATTGTTAATTAAGTCATTAAAGAGGAAGAAATGAAAAATTCAGAAGATAGTAATAACATCAAAACATACAACAAAAATACTTCATATAGCACAATTTTTAAAGATCTACCAAGCAAGGTAGTAACACTGCATATACATTTCTCACCTTTGAACCATCTTATTCTATAAGACAACCAAATTGTCCTTCCTTCTGAAGATCCTTAAGGAAACATAATATAAAATGAACTTAGCTAACCAAGTGCTGTTTATGGGAAATAATCCTTGACTTCATCATAATCTGTAGAGAGCTGTCAAAACTCCCTAAAATGTAATCTTTTCAATCACCTTAACAAGCAAGAATCCCCACAGGAGCTCCTTTTCTCTTTCGCACCTCCACCTCCAGGTTTTGGAAGGGAAAACTCTACCTTAATCTCTCCTAAGAGTCCTCCAGTCCTCTGCAGCACCAAGGACAAAATCAGGGCGGTACTGGGATTAGCAAGAGTGATTTTGCTTTGGTTGAGAAATCGCACAAGTCCATAGGGTGCATCACTCTGAGCAATAGTGATTCGGCTCACTAGGTGGTGCCCAAGCACTGCTCCTCCAGTAGCTCCCGTCAGCAGGATTTCAAACTGCTCCTCAAATTCACTGTATGGCAAGAAGGAGCAATTCTCTGAGTCTAAACATATTAAAATGCTGCTAAAATCCAAATAACTAGTCATTTTCCAAATTGGTCATACATATTCAATGCACAGCACACACACCAAGTAGTAAAAAGAGGGTGCTCATTTAAAAGCGAGAGTTATCAACATCAACATTAATGCCTAGGAATCGTTATTAGCGCTTTCCTCCTCTGTTTTTAATTGCTTGGTGCATTAAGATAGTGAATTGGATGGGGTTTTTTCCATATTCTGATCAGACTTCCAAAAGTCTGAGAGAAAAGAAAAAAGCACACATAGTGATTTCCTCTAATTCTAGGAAAGTGATACATATAACTCCTTTTGCATATTTTTCAACTCGATTTAAGTGATGTTTTCCATTTACCAGCATGTAACAAATTGTTCTCTGTCAGTGAATGTGTTTTCTACAATCTTGTTTTAAAACAAGGGGCTCATTTGACATACATGATGAAGATGTAGTTTGGGGGGATGTGACAGCTATCATCAAAAAGGATTAAGCAGAATGAGGAACAATGGGTAGAAGTTACAAAGACAAAATTTAGGCTTGAGATCAGGGCAAACTACCTAAATAATTAGAGCTCTCCAAAAATGAAAAGGACTGCTTCAAGAAGTCGTGGGTTCTTCCACATTGTAAGTCTTGAAACAAAGGCTTCTGCAAGAAGACTACCTGGATCCCCCTTAATGTAAGTGCCTTCCCTTCATCAGCTATTTCCAATTTATCCCATACAGATCTTGTTTTTTACATACTCTTCACATGTTGTCTCCTCCATAAGGGTATGAATTCCTTGAAAGCAAGGACTCTTTCTATCACCAGAACTTAGCACAGTGGCTGGCATACAGTAATCAGTAAATTATTCCTGGCAACTTGGTATTTTGTGGAGGAGACTTTCGTCAGATATTAGTTGGACAAGATGAACACTAAGACTTTTTCCAACTCCAAAATTCAGTGAGTTTCTGTGCTAGATATGACACAGGATTCTCATATATTCATGATTAAACATCTGATTATCTAACTAATGAAATCATCAGCTCCATTACCTTTCGTCATCATCTATGATAGAGACATTTATAAAACTTAGGTTATCTCCATGGTGAAAGGTGACCGAGTCACCGCGAACACGGTAATCCTCACCAGGAAGGGCAGAAATGCTTTGGGAGACAAAATCAGCTGTCACGCTGCCGTACGTTCCATGCAGCCTCACTACTGGAATCATGATCATCCCAATGTCTTCTTCCACTATGACAAGAATTCAGAGTTAGTAGCAAACACACTTTATCAGAAGCCATCCAAAGGGAAATCATGAATTTCTTCTTTTTGCAATTAAGGAAGGTAAAGATGAAGATTTAACTGAAGTTTTTAATTATTCTAATAACTATATGCCACATAATCTACATTAAACTTCAATTATCCAGTCCTTTAAGTCATTATTAATGTGAAGAAAGATGCCAATGAATAACAGAAGAGATCACATATGATTTGTATTTTTAGTTGAAAAAATATAACTTGGCTGAAATAGAGTTCAACAGCAATTGCCTAAGAGTCCACAAGATAGTGATATTTTCCCATAAAATAATCAAAAGGTCATAAATTTAGAGTTAGAAAAGTCCTCAGAGGCCATCTAATTACTTCTTCATTTTACAGATGAGGAAACTAAGGTCTGAAGAGGTTAAATGACTGGTCTAAGAAGGCAATATTTGAACCCTGGTCCTCTGACTCCAGTGAGAATGCTCTATCTACAATACCACCATTGCCTTCTATAAACTGATGCAAGTGACCTAGAATATTCTGTGGTGATTGCTTTGGGTTTTGGATTTTTGTTGTTTTGGTTTGGCTTATTCTACCCTGTGGTTTCGTACATAGAGACCTAAGCAATGTGGAATTCCTTCTACTAAGCAGATCAGCACTTA